ACAAATCCTACAGATGTATACTGGGATTTCTTCCTAACCAATAAAAATGGACAATTCTTGATCTTGCCCCTCATTTTTGTTCAATCTTGCCTTGAAGCCAGAATGTTATAACCACTCAACTGTATCTTTTTTGCATGGGTGTACGTATATAAGTAGATAATGAGGTCAACATTGAGTGGAAACAGTCTGTTTCATATGTGAACGCCATCTTCAGACCAATCGCACATCACTCTGAACCAGTCATAAATGTATACAAGTGTGAAATAGACTGTCGCAACTCAGTGTTGACCTTTGTCCACTTTTATATTTACCACATGCTCTATCCCCAATATTGAGCATTTATCCATAAATATAGCATACTGTAAAACTATATTTTTATTTTACTTATATATATATATATATATATATATATATATATATAGAGAGAGAGAGAGAGAGAGAGAGAGAGAGATTTTCCAAGCGTAGCTTAGATGTGGCACAAGGCCGAAAGTATGGGGCATCCAGTGAGGATCGAACTCACTTTTCAGTAGTAACTGATGTAGCAAGCCAAGCTTGCTAACCATTACACTACTTGAGGTGCCCATATATATATATATATATATATATATATATATATATATATATATATATATATATATATATATATATATATATATACACACATATTATTTTGCTGTTCTTTTTTGCTTATTATTGTTGTTGTTTGAAAATATTGTCAATTCTCTTTGATAAGAATTTGGTTAATTATGCTTAACCATGCCCAATTATTCCACACCATGGTGGCACTAGAACAAGGTTTATTCACCAGGAATTACCAGGCAAACAGAATAAAAAAAAAAAAAAACCCTCTGCAGAACCCATGTTTAAATTAAGTGAATAATATATTGACAGTATTGAACACTCAGTTTTTAGTTTTCCAATCCTGACACCAAATGAAGACACAGTGCAAAATAAGATCAGGCAGTATATTCATTGTAACCTGTCAGTATCACAGTGGGCAACGTGCTGACAAAACAATATGAATGGCAGCCTGAACCAATCATAGAAGGCCATGATGTCACCATTCTTTGAGACTCTACAATTCCTAGTGACAGACATCTAAAAGCTAACATTAGGTATGGGGGGAGGGGATTGGGCTAAACATTGGGCATAAAAGATATGGGGGCCAAAACCAAGAATAAAAGAGGTGGGGGCCTAAACAACGGACATAAAGAGGGCATTACTCCTATCCCAACATATTTTACCATTTTGGAACCAGGCTGACTGTGAGCAAATTAAAAACATTCCAACCCAAATCCAGACCCACTATCCTGAAATTTGGGATTCATGATATTTTTTTTTAATGTGATTTTTTTTGTGACAAATTTTGTTTTGTACGATAACAATTTTTATAACTTGGAAATAAATTTGGTAATGATGCAAATTAATTGTGAAGTCCAGCAAAAATCTCCCATGGAATAAAAATAATTGTTTGTACAGAAAGTAAGGACCTACATACATTAAATTGTCTTTAAATTGTGGTGGCAGAAGAATTATCGTTGAACTTCTAAAAGGTAAGCTTAGATATTAATGCAATACTTAAATGCAGTGATTAATTTTGAGTTTTTCTGTAGTTCATTGTTGCCTATTGCATCTACTCTTCCCTACCTATTACGATAAAGGCCCAATCAAGAGCCCTCTGCAGGAGCTACCTTAAATGCCACCCAATAGTCAAGCGGGGGGGGTGCTAAAACAAACTACTATAAACCTGAACATCAAGCATAAAAAGAGTTGGGGGGCTAAACATACTTAATCTTAACAGTTACATATAATAAACTTCAGATGTTTGAGAACAAGAAAAACAAATAAAATTTACATAGAGATATACAAGGTCAGTTTGGAAAGTAATGAGACTGGCATCACAAACAATTTATTTAAATTCCAAACAACAAATTACATGATGTCCCCTTCGAAGTAATCCCCCTTGAGTCTAATGCACTTTTCCATCTTTCACTGCTACACTCCGATGTACTGCTGGAAGGATTCTTCTTAGATGCTCGTCAGCTCCGTCATTATGGCTCTCTTGATGGCCTCTATGACTTCAAAATGGGTTCCCTTGATGATCCCATAGAGCTTGGGCAAAAAGGGAAAAAATTCACATGGCGCAAGATCGGGTGAAAAGAAAGGTTGTTCAGGGCATTGTGAGCAGGTGCATTATTGTGGTAAAGCAGCCACAATTTGTCCTGCCACAACTCATGTCTCTTTTCAAGAATTGAATCAGGCAAATGACGCAGGATCTCTTTGAGACTTGTTGATTGATCATCTGGCTCCATGGCAAGAATTCACTGTGGACAATGCCACTCACATTGAAGAACGTGATCAGTCTTGTTACTTTTTGACAGACCTTTCATCTCATTATAAATGCATTTTATTAGAAAAATCAAATATAAATACAGCATGTGGCAGAAATGCCTCCCACATAATGGTTAGATATTAGCGAGATGAAGACAGCATTGCCACT